ACTCCTGCCTCCCAAAATGTTAGTATTACAGGCGTGAGCCACCATGCCTGGCCTGTCCCCATGGTTTTATATGGATTCCTATTTTTAATGTTGAAAAGATTTTTTTCTTTCTCCAAAGGTGAGGGGGTAGAAAACTGTAGTAATTTTTAAAATTGTAAGCTAGGAAACTTTTTGTAGCCCTGCCATTTCTAGATAGATTACCTGTAGCTTGCCATGGGTATGGTATTTCTGTGATTGAGAGTGCCCTCTTATGGTGACACAAAAATAATTCAGGAAGTGCTAGAATCTCTGGAAGTTTTTTTAAGAGGGTGTGTTCAACCTCAAACCTAAGTCTGGTCCATTTGTAGTTGTAAATGTTCCCATGGTATTTGCCATCTACAGCTTTAGGAGAGTTGAAAGATGCCATTTCCCCAAATGAGAGTAACCTGTTAAATTTTTAATGTACCCTAGGTGGAACGGCCTCCTTCTCCATTCTCCATGGCCCCACAAGCTTCCCTTCCTCCGGTGCCACCACGACTTGACCTTCTGCCACAGCGTGTATGTGTTCCCTCAAGTGCTTCTGCTCTTGGAACTGCTTCTAAGGTAAAGCATTTTCCATTACTGCAGTTTTCAGATTCTTTGCTGTGTACTAGTGGGTTTTGATGATTTGCTTTCATCGTGCTTCCACAGGCTGCTTCTGGCTCCCTTCATAAAGACAAACCGTTGCCAGTACCTCCCACACTTCGAGATCTTCCACCACCACCGCCTCCAGACCGGCCATATTCTGTTGGAGCAGAATCCCGGCCTCAGAGACGCCCCCTGCCTTGTACACCAGGCGATTGTCCATCCAGAGACAAACTGCCCCCTGTCCCCTCTAGCCGCCTTGGAGACTCATGGCTGCCCCGGCCAATCCCCAAAGTACCCGTATCTGCCCCAAGTTCCAGTGATCCCTGGACAGGAAGAGAATTAACCAACCGGCACTCACTTCCATTTTCATTGCCTTCACAAATGGAGCCCAGACCAGATGTGCCTAGGCTCGGAAGCACGTTCAGTCTGGATACCTCCATGGTGAGTCTTAATTTCGAAACAATCTAGTCTGTTAAGAAATATGTCTGGGCCAGGCACAGTGGCTCATGTCTGTAATCCCAGCACTTTGGGAGTCTGAGGTGGGTGGATCGCTTGATCCAGGAGTTCGAGACCAGGTGGGCAGATCAGTTGATCCCAGCAGTTCGAGACCAGCCTGGGCAACATGGTGAAACTCCGTCTCTATAAAAAATACAAAAGTTAGCTGGGTGTGGTATCACATGCCTGTAATTCTAGTTACTCAGGAGGCTGAGGTGGGAGTATTGCTTGAGCCCAGGAGGCCAAGCTTTCAGTGAGCCATGATTGCACCACTGCACTCCAGCCTAGACAATAGAGTGAGACCCTGTCTTGAAAAACAAGAAGAAAAATATGTGTGGATAGATGATTATGGGTTGAAATTTTGTGATAGGTTTTATATGGAATTCAGAGATACTGTAACATAATTCCTACCCTCAAGAAGAGTGGCTAGGCGTGGTGACTCATGCCTATGATCACAGCACTTTGGGAGGCCAAGATGGGTAGACCACCTGAGGTCAGGAGTTCGAGACTAGCCTGGCTAACATGATGAAACCTCGTCTCTACAAAAAATACAAAAAATTAGCTGGGCCTGGTGGCAAGCGTCTATAATTCCATCTACTCAGGAGGCTGAGGCAGGAGAATTGCTTGGTCCTGGGAGGCAGAGGTTGCAGTGAGCCAAGATTGTCCCACTGCACTCCTGCCTGGGCAGCAAGAGTGAAACTCTGTCTCCACAAAAAAAAAAAAGAAGTGTGTATGTTCATAGACCAGATGAGGCAGTTTGTAAATATTGCAGTAAATGTCGTTTGATAAATGTCGTTCGTAATGTAACTAGGAAATACTTAAGTTTTAGAGAAATAAGAGGATATTCCCAGATAGGGCAATCATGAGGGCTTTATAGAAAGAGTGGCATCTGAGTAGAAATATTTCTTTGGAAAGTGGATATGGTTTTCAGATTGTTAACAGCCGCAATGACAGAAATGCTTAAGGTGTATTGTGGAATGGTGATTAGGTTATTTTGAGTAGAGCAGAAATTTTGTCAGTAGGAGAAAGAGCTGGAAAGGAACTCACACTAGATTAGAGAGACTTGAAAACCCTCTCCCAAAAGAATTTTCATTTGTATGGTAGGAAATGAAGAACATTTGAAGGAGATAAGTTACTGTTCGTTGTCTGAATATGCAATAAGGGGTCCAGAACTGGGAGATGGGAGAGGAATATTTGATGTTTTATTCATTTATGCACTCAACAAAAAGTCTTGCCCTCACAAAGTTTATATTCTAGTAGGAGGAAGATGGAATATAAATGTGTTAATTGAATAACAGTATATTCGCAGTCACAAGTGCTGTGGAGAAAAGTAGCCCAAAGAAGCGTATAGAGAAAGCTGGCACAGGAGTGGGAGGTTCCTGAAGTTACGGAGTACAATTCTGAGCAGAAACCTGTAGCAGGAGGGAGGATGCGCCGTACTGATACCAGGGGAGATTATTCCAGGATGAAGGAAAAAGCAAATGAGTCTGGGAGAGACTGTTTGAAGAATAATAAAGGGGTTTAATGTAGCCAGGGCTCAATGAGCAAGAGAGAGAATCATTGTTTATGAGCAAAGTGAGCAGCCAGATTAGGTCGAAGCCTTGAGAGCATGAAATAAAGACTCCGTTAAGGCTTGAGGAGCAGTTAGTGGGTAGAAAAAAAGATAAGAGGTACCACATACATGCACTGAATGTGCATAAAAACAAAGCTTTTACCTGGCTGACTGTTGAATTTCAAATGAGCAGCTGATGGAAGCATCGCAAGTAGGTAGAAATCTAAGGAGGTGGAATGGGAAGAGTGAAGCTGAGAAATGTGGCACTAAGTGAATGGCATATTAATTGATTGCAGGGAAAGGATAACAATCAAGTGGCATCTATATGGTGGACAATCTAATTAGTGAGTGTGGATTAGGTTTGACTTTCTGGCAGCGTCAGTATAGAATGACCATTTCGAGTTTGGATATAGATTATTTAAGATACTAATGATATTTGTGTAGATAGCCAATTTACTCAAATCTTTTTAGAATTAAACCAAAAAGCTCATTTCCCTGACTCTTTCTAGATCTCCATCTCCCTAACCCTTACATTTGAAGGTTCTTCAGAGCCCTAAAGCCGCTAAGCTTCTAAGCGTTTGTCAGATGGGATAACCCCAGGCATGGCATTGAGAGTTAAGTCTGTATCTCTTATTGAACCTTATTGAAAAGGTTCAATAAGAGGAGGTGCTCAGCTGTGGTAAGGAAGTTCTTTTTCAACACTTTTCTTTACTTTCCAGAGTATGAATAGCAGCCCATTAGTAGGTCCAGAGTGTGACCACCCCAAAATCAAACCTTCCTCATCTGCCAATGCCATTTATTCTCTGGCTGCCAGGTAAGTCTGCTAAAGCTATATTTCATATAGAGGAGTTGGTACTTATAAACAACTTACTTGCAGAAAATGTGAAAACCAAGAGACATGTAAAAAAGAAAATGAAAATTAATCTGTTTGCACCATGTAGAAATGATTATATTTTATGTTTTAGAGTATTTCCTTCTTTTCCTTTTTCTGCATACATGTACCTAGATCTGTGTTCCTAGGGCCTGTCGATGTTGTTATTTTCAAGGAAGTAATTTTGGATATCTGCTTTCTGTTTCATTGCTCTCTGCTCTTTATTCTTCTTTCTTTAGGTTTAATTTGCAGTTTTTCTAGCTTCATGAAATGGATGCTGTGTTGGTCTGCTCAGGCTGCCATGACAAAATACCACATATTGGGTGGTTTAAATAGTGGAAATTTATTTTCCCTCAGTTCTGGAGTCTGGAAGTCTGAGATCAGGGTGCCTGCTTGGTGGCTTTCCGGTGAGGGCTCTCTTTCTGCATCTCACTATGTCCTTACATGGCCATCCTCAGTGTTTGCGCAGAGAGAGAAAGAGAGACAGAGAGAGAGAGTGAGAGAGAGAGAGTGCGTGCACGTGCACACAAGCTCTCTGGGGTCTCTTCCTATAGGGACACCAATCCTACTGGATATGGTCCTATCCTTATGACTTCATCCAACCTTAATTACATCCTTAGAGGCCCCATCTTCAAATACAGCCACCCCTCAGTATATATGCATGCAGGGCATTAGTTCTAAGACCCCAGCGTATACCAGAATGCGGTCAGGTCCCACAGTTGGCCCTGTGGAACCACATATATGAAAAGCTGACCCTCCCCATATGTGGGTTCTAATGACTACTGTGTTTTTGAGCCAAACTTGGTTGCAATTACAGAACCCAAGGATACAGAAGACTGTGTTTATTGATAAAAATCTATGCGTACATTGAGAGTAAGGGCTTCAACAGATGATTTTAGGGAGTATACAAACAGATGTTTTGCTGTATTCCACACAGTTCGATATGTCGTATTTTCATTGTCATTAAGTTCAAAACAGATACTTTTTCTATTTCTAATTCCTTCTTTAATTCATGAGTTATTTATATGTTGCCTGATTTTCATACATTTGAAAATTTTCTAGTTATCCTTCTGCTACTGCCAGCTTCATTCAGGTGTGGTCAGAAACCATATTGTCAACTAGTTTATGGTAAATTGTGGTAATTTGTACCACCCTCCGTTCCTAAGAAAGTGTATTTTGCAGTGTTGGGTTGAAGCATTCTATATAAGTTAATGAGGTCAAGTTTGTTAATTGTGTTAAATCTTATATCTCCCTAAAATCTTTTAAAAAATCTGCTATCTGATAACTGAGAAAAGTATTTTAAATTCTCCACCTATGACTGTGGTTTTTTTCTTTTCCTTTTAGTTATGCGTATTTGTGTTACTGGTATATTTAGCCTATGTAATTAGGGTACATAGAAATTTAGAAGTTTTGGCCGGGCATGGTGGCTCATGCCTGTTATCCCAGCACTTTGGGAGGTGGAGGCGGGAACGCTTCATAAATTCATGTGTCATCCTTGTGCAGAGTCATCCTTGTGCAGAGGCCATGCTAATCATCTCTATATCCTTCCAGTTTTAGTGTTTGTCCTGCTGAAGTGAGCACAACTACTTCTATTCATTAATAGTTACCGAGAGATTCCATCATGCACTCTTGACTTGTTAAGAGTTTCATTTAGGCCGGGCATGGTGGCTCAAGCCTGTAATCCCAGCACTTTGGGAGGCCGAGGCGGGCGGATCACAAGGTCAAGAGATTGAGACCATCCTGGCCAACATGGTGAAATGCCGTCTCTACTAAAAATACAAAAATTAGCTGGGTGTGGTGGCGTGCGCCTGTAGTCCCAGCTACTCGGGAGGCTGAGGCAAGAGAATTGCTTGAACCCGGGAGGCAGAGGTTGCGGTGAGCCGAGATTGTGCCACTGCACTCCAGCTTGTCGCCTGGTGTCAGAGTGAGACTCTGTCTCAAAAAAAAAAAAAAAAGTTTCATTTATTGGCCGGGCGTGGTGGCTCATGCCTGTAATCCCAGCACTTTGGGAGGCCTAAGTGGTCTGATCACCAGAGGTCAGGAGTTCAAGACTAGCCTGACCAACATAGAGAAACCCTGTCTCTACTAAAAATACAAAATTAGCCGGGTGTGGTGCTGCATGCCTGTAATCCCCGCCACTCAGGAGGCTGAGGCAAGAGAATCACTTGAACCTGCGGGGTGGAGGTTGTGGTGAACGGAGATCGCGATCGCGCCATTGCAGTCCAGCCTGAGCAACAGGAGCGAAACTCTGTCTCAAAAAAAAAAAAATTTCATTTATTTATTTAGAGATAGAGTCTTGATCTGTTGCCCAGGTCGCAGTGCAAAGACACAATCATAGCTTGCTACAGCGTGAACGTACTGGGCTCAAGAAATCCTCCCACCTCAGTCTCCTGAGTAACTGAGACTCTCCAGGCATTTGCCACCATGCCTGGCTAAGTTTTTAATTTTTTATTTTTAGTAGAGACAAGGTCTAGCTTTGTTGCCCAGGCTGGTCTTGAACCCCGGTGTCAAGAGAGCCTCTTCAGCTTCCTGAGTTGCTGGGAAATACAGATATGAGCCATCACACCGAGCCTAGAGTGTATTTTAAATCAGTGGCTCTGTTTTTTGCCTAGGCTGGAGTACAGTGGTACAATCTCAGCTCACTGCAGCCTAAATCTCTCAGGCTCAAGTGATCCTCCTGCCTTAGCCTCCCAAGTAGCTGGGACCACAGATGCATGGTACCATGGTCAGCTAATTTTTGCATTTTTGTAGAGATGGGTTTTGCCATGTTGCCCAGACTGGTCTCGAACTTGTGGGCTCAAGTGATTTGCCCACCTTGGCCTCCCAAAGTGCAGGGACTGTAGGCTTAAGCCACCGTGCCTAGCCCACTTCTAATTTTTTAAAAAGATACTTTCACTGAGTACAGCATCTGTTTTGTTTTTGAGATGGAGTCTTGCTCTGTATCCTAGGCTGGAGTACAGTGGCATGATCTCGGGTCACTGCAACCTATGCCTCCCAGGTTCAAGCAAGTCTCCTGCCTCAGCCTCCCAAGTATCTGGGTTTACAGGTGTCACTACTACACCTGGCTACTTTTTTTGTATTTTTAGTAGACGGGGTTTCACCAAGTTGGCCAGGCTGGTCTTGAACTCCTGACCTCAAGTGATCTGCCTGCCTCAGCCTCCCAAAGTGCTGGGATTTACAAGTGTGAGCCACTGTGCCCAGCCAAATATGGCATCTGAACTGAAGTTGTTTTCTTTTGGCAGTTTAAAAAATATCATTCCACTCTCTTTTAGCGTCCATTGTTTCTGTTTAGAAATTAGCTCTCAGCCTTAATGTTACTCCTTTAAAGGTAATGTTTCTTGGCTGTGAGTGGTGGCTCATGCCTGTAATGGAAGCACTTTGGGAGGCCAAGGCAGGAGGATCGCTTGAGCCCAGGAGTTTGAGACCAGTCTGGGAAACATAGTAAGACTCATATCTCTACAAAAAGTAAAAAATCAGCCGGGCATGTGATGGCACATGCAGTCCCAGCTACTTGGGAGGCTAAGGTGAGAGGATTGCTGGAGCCCAGGATGTTGAGGCTGCAGTGAGTTGTGATGACACTACTTTACTTTGTAGCATTATAAATAATGCTACATGAATGTTCTTGATGGTTTCCTTAGGGAAAATTATTAGAAATGGAATTTTTGAGACCAAGAGTATGCATGTTTGATAAATACTTTTGTTGAATTACACAACAGAAATGTGTTAATTCCTTATTTCTACAGCTGTGTGACAAAGTTCCCATTCATTTCCCTACACCTTCACTGACACAATATGGCCAAATACCACATTAAGAACAAACTAGGGCTGAGTGGGGTAGTTCAGGCCTGTAATCCCAACATTTTGGGAGGCCAGGGCAGGAGGATCACTTGAGCCCAGGAGTTTAAGACCAGCCTGAGCAACATAGCAAAACTGCATCTCTATTTAAAAAAATTGTTTTTAAAAATTATTCTGGTATCATGGCACATGCCTGTAGTCCCACCTACTGAGGAGGCTGAGGTGGGAGGATCACTTGAGCCTGGGAGGTTTAGGCCACAGTGAGCTGTCATCATGCCACTGTGAAATCTAGGTGTTTCTTTTTTTTTGAGAGAGAATTTTGCTCTTGTTGCCCAAGCTGGAGTGCAATGGTGGGATCTCAGCTCCCCACAACCTCCACCTCCCAGGTTCAAGCAATTCTCTTGCCTCAGCCTCCCAAGTAGCTAGAATTACAGGCATGTGCCACCACACCCAGCTAATTTTGTATGTTTAGTAGAGACTGGGTTTCTCCATGTTGGCCAGGCTGATGTCAAACTCCCGACCTCAGGTGACCTGCCTGCCTTGGCCTCCCAAAGTGCTAGGATTATAGGCGTGAGCCATGCACCCAGCCTAGGTATTTCTTTTTTAATGTAAATTGTCCTCCCGCCACCTCATTTGATTGTGAAAAATTACCAAGATAGTAAAGGTGAAAGAATTTTACAGTGAACACCCATAAACTGATCACCTGGATTCTACTTTTAGCATTTTATTATACTTGTTTTATCACACTATAATCTGTCTTTTGATGTTTTTAAAGTAAATTGTAGATACCAATACACTTCTGCCTCAGAACTTCAGCATGTGTTGCACAAATCTTGAGTGGATATTTGCTGAGTTTTAAAGGCTAATTTTTCCATATTTAGGTTGGTGCCAAAACAATTGTGATTTTTGCCATTAACAGCAAAAAACGCAATTACTTTTGCATCAACCTAATAAAAGTAATAGGTATGCATAAGAAAAAAAACTCAAATGAAGGCTCATGCCTTAATCCCAGCACTTTGGGAGGCCGAGGCGGGCAGATCACGAGATCAGGTGATAAGACCATCCTGGCCAACATGGTGAAGCCATGTCTCTACTATAAATAGAAAAATTACTTTCACGTGGTGGTGCGCGCCTGTAGTCTCAGCTACTCAGGAGGTTGAGGCAGGAGAATTGCCTGAACCCAGGAGGCAGAGGTTGCGGTGAGCCAAGGTCGCGCCATTGCACTCCAGCCTGGGTAACAAGAGTGAAACTCCGTCTCAAAAAAAAAAAAAAAAAAAAAAAAAAAAAAAAAAAAAAAAAAAAAAAAAAAAAAAAAAACCAACAAAAAAAAAAAAAAAAAAAAAAAAAAAAAGTTGCATCTTTGGTCAGTTGAAAGTGACATTTTTAGTTAGTGTGCTTTTGCTAATTACCTGTTTTGGTCAGTAGAAATAATAGTTCCCTAGGTGGCATGTATTTTGCTCTCTCCAGTTTGAGTTGTGTCTGTTTTTAAGCCACTTATTTTATACTTCAAAGTTTACCAGCTTGTTACTTATTTTTCTATTTTTTGTTCTTCATCTTCCAGACCTCTTCCTGTGCCAAAACTGCCACCTGGGGAACAGTGTGAGGATGAAGAGGACACAGAGTACATGACTCCCTCTTCCAGGCCTCTGCGGCCTTTGGATACATCCCAGAGTTCACGGTAGGTTCACAACAACCCTATTTTGGGCCATATACCTTTATGTGGGTAATTGACACCCTTCACCTGCCTGACTTGCTCTTGCACATAGTGTTATCCACCTGGATTAAAGCAGAAAGATAAATCTAGTCCTTAATGGTTTAAGCCTTTTGTAGCTGTAGGTAATTGCACCTAGTTTTCTCAGCAACATGATAACCTCAAAAACACACACATCTATCACTTGCCACAAGAGTCAACCTTGCCAACATTTATTAGTGATACTGGCGAAAGGAGAAGATGAGTCTTCATAAGTTTACAGATAACAGTTCTGTTTCCAAATATCATGATTGCACTTTCCTTCTGGTTCAGAGCATGTGATTGCGACCAGCAGATTGATAGCTGTACATATGAAGCAATGTATAATATTCAGTCTCAGGCGCCATCTGTCACTGAGAGCAGCACCTTTGGTAAGTAGCTATTTTGCTACTTTAAAAATCATTGATATGCCATAGGAATGAACCTGTAATATTTGGCAATTGAGATAGCTTGATCTAAGCTGAAAATTATTCTGTAGCTGGGACTACAGGCATGCTTGACCACACCCGGCTAATTTTTGTATTTTTAGTAGAGATGGAGTTTCACTGTGTTGGCCAGGCAGGTCTCAAACTCCTGACCTCAGGTGATCCACCCACCTTGGCCTCCCAAAGTGTTGGGATTACGTGCGTGAGCCACCGTGCCCAGCCAAAGCTGAAAATTCTTTTCAGTAATCTTTGGCAAAATATCTTTGATCCATGGACAGTAAAGTACCCCCACTCTTTTATCTCCTATTCACACTGCTGGTTCTTTTGTGCTTTTTTTTTTTTTTTGGTCCTTCCAGGGCCCAGAGACATTTATGTTATATACTCTGTACCTGTATACTTCTTTTTATTCTCATTGCATTGATGAAATTCTTTTATGTGGAGGTGGTGAATGCTCAGTTCCCATGTTAACTAGCCTACCAGATTGAAAGTTCAAGAAGTTGTCAACTGATCATGGGTGGGGACGGGGGGGGAGAAAGTTCAAGAAGCCTGCTCTCATAGGACCCTTTGCTGATCTTCCAAGGTGGAATGTGGATAGAAATGTTTATTGAATGTTCTGAGATGACATTCAAGTCATTGGCATCAGTGGCTATTAACCTTGTCAAGAGTAACCTTTGGCATATTCAAAAAAGAAAACTGCAGTATTGGTATAGATTTTATTTTCTATTTTTATCTCTGTGTTTACATGGTGTTTGGCCCACAGTAGACAATCGGTAACTGTTGAATGAGATAAATGATTGCATATATGCAAAAATGAGTGGATGTCCCTATATTGAAATGTTTTAGAAGATGAAGTGTGTGAGAAGAAGATAACATCACAAACTTTTCTCCAGGTGAAGGGAATTTGGCTGCAGCCCATGCCAACACTGGTCCTGAGGAATCAGAAAATGAGGATGATGGGTATGATGTCCCAAAGCCACCTGTGCCGGTGGTGCTGGCCCGTCGGACTCTCTCAGATATCTCTAATGCCAGCTCCTCCTTTGGCTGGTTGTCTCTGGATGGTGATCCCACAACAAGTGAGTCTCCAGCCTATGTTGGGTTTGTCCTGAATGGCAGCATGGCCTGGATGTTTATATTGAAAGGGAGATGACCTTCTGTCGTGACAGGAAGTCAGTATGTGGAAGTAGTAGGTGAAACATTACGTCTGAATGGGAGGGAAGTCCCAAGTTAGGAAGTTAGACTGTAGTCA